ACGGCAGACAAGTCAGGCATGTTTGGAATGAGTCCACAACACTCCTGATTGGTTAATATAAACATAATCGAAGAAACCTGCCAATGAGAACTGTCCGCGCCTGTCGTTCACATTTGAAACATCCAAGTCAGTTTGAGCGGGTCTCCTCCTGCGAGCTACAGCTGTCTGTGTGTCTGCTACAGGAGTTTAGTTTATGGATTCATATCGGGATCGTTTTACATCTACACGTTAAATATGAGCATCGGGACGTCAACAAAGAACAGAAGACTTGAGATCTGGTGAGTCCTGCAACTGTAATGGAGTTAAACATGTATTTAGATAATCCTTACTTAGTTTGTGAATGTTTTATTTTTTATTTAAGGTTACGTTTCTTCTTCTAGTTAGCTGAGTTTCTTCCCGTTAAGTTGGTATGCATAATTAATAGGTTGTTAAATGTTAAGAATCCCTGAGATGCTGTTTCTTGCAAGATGTTGCGCCCGGGAAACCCGGCTTAACATGCGGCTGCTAACGTTAGTTTACATCTTATTGCAGTGCTGCCCCCCCACCCTCTCGTCTCCAACACGGGAGAATTACACATAAACATGCAGTGGGGTGTCACAGTGTTGTCGCCAAGTTTAATGTAAAGTTTCACAGCTTTCTTACAGCGGAATCTAGTTTGTTAATGTTCAGTAGCCAACAGCTAGCATAGCATAAACAGCTAACCGCTAACGTTCGGCTAACTTGCTAGTTAGCTCTGCTCTATATATTACACGCTAACATGACTAGCTAATGTCACACTGTGAACTAAAATACTTGTTGTATTACTACATCATACATGCTTGGTCCAAATCACTGCTAAAATTAATTATTTTTGAAAATGTATAGTAAAGAAACACTCAGCCATGCATGAAATAACATAGCAAAAGAATACGGGTAATGTTTGACCCATGTTGTGCCTTAGAAGTGTAGTGATACAAACATGATTTTTATTCAAAAAGTAAGAAAGGGACAAATACAAATTTAGAATTGGTGTTGATCCAAAACATGTTAATTGAGGAATACCTGGGATCCTGAATGGTTAAAGTAATTTATTGCAAAGATATTTACAATTAAAACTAATTCGGGTCACTTTTGACACATGTTGGTTGTATGTTGTGTAACAAAGGGTTAACATGACAGCTGTGATGTTCACTCTTTTGACAGAGCACCAGTGGACAGTGAGGACTATGGAAGAGAAGATGTGATGGTTTTGTGTGGAAAGCTGCTGACGCCAGCCTGTGTCCCTCATCAGTCTCTCCAGGCAGCACCCAGCTATTCTTGCAGATGAAAATACTTTGATATGTGAGTAATAACTAACTTGTGTCTTAACATAATATTGAATGTGGTTTAGTAAAGTATTTAAAAATACCCCACATTGTACATGTACAGGACAATCAGACCTTGTTCAACAAAGATCATCAGACAATTGTTTTGTCTTTAAGGTACAGCCGCAGCAGAGAGTCTGAGTTTGAAGAAAACACTAACATTTTATTTAGTGTTGTTTAATCAATCAATATTTACTGGTCTTGAATTTCCTCACTGTATTACAAAATGCTCGAATCTTATTGTACAGGAACATTATGCAGATTTCATCACCTGAAGATAAAAATATAGATTCAGCGATATGTACCATTTTAAGGAAATGGACTGTTAGCGGTATTTACCAAAGCTCCGCAGCTGTAGCTAGGCGCTGCTAATGAAAACTCAAGTGCTCAATTTGTTGGTTTTTATTTTTTATTAAGAATTGACCAAGCATATCTTCCTCTTCGAAATCCCAGTTGTACTTCGCTAACACGCAGTGCCTGGGAGGGTGCGTTTGATTGTTCCCACAATAGTGCGTGCTTGTGCTTCAAAGGTCCATCATACAAGATGTAGGGGATCTATTGGCAGCTGCTGATAATAACATCCATCATTATGGTTTACTAATAGTTATCACTTCACTTCCTCCTCCAGCACCTGGACACAGCAGGAACCTACGCCAGGATCCTGTTTGTGGACTTCAGCTCTGCCTTCAACACAACCCTCTGGCTGGAGGCTGCGCTCCATCAGGACCAACACCTCTCTCCCTCAGGACCAGAACCTCTCTCCATCAGGACCAACACCTCTCTCCATCAGGACCAACACCTCTCTCCATTAGGACCAGAACCTCTCTCCATCAGGACCAGAACCTCTCTCCATCAGGACCAAAACCTCTCTCCATCAGGACCAAAACCTCTCTCCATCAGGACCAAAACCTCTCTCCATCAGGACCAAAACCTCTCTCCATCAGGACCAAAACCTCTCTCCATCAGGACCAACACCTCTCTCCATCAGGACCAGAACCTCTCTCCATCAGGACCAACACCTCTCTCCCTCAGGACCAGAACCTCTCTCCATCAGGACCAACACCTCTCTCCATCAGGACCAACACCTCTCTCCATTAGGACCAGAACCTCTCTCCATCAGGACCAGAACCTCTCTCCATCAGGACCAAAACCTCTCTCCATCAGGACCAAAACCTCTCTCCATCAGGACCAAAACCTCTCTCCATCAGGACCAAAACCTCTCTCCATCAGGACCAAAACCTCTCTCCATCAGGACCAACACCTCTCTCCATCAGGACCAGAACCTCTCTCCATCAGGACCAGAACCTCTCGCCACCTCAACAAGGCCCCCCCCCCCCACTGACACTTTACCTCAGCCACAACGCAGACTCTATGCATTACATAATGGAGATCACAGGATGGTAAATAATGCAATGTTTAAATATTGCTTACTGCACATATTTTATATTCTATAATTTATTGCATTCTATTTCGATGTAAGTTACTGCTTTATTTTATTTCTATCTTACTATATTTTTATTACAGTGTTCTTAATATAGTTCGCTATCTGTGTACTTTTTAATTTTTTTTATTTGTATGTCGTGTGTCCAGGTGTCGTGGTACACGACACCTAGTCAAATTCCTCGTACGTGTGAACCTACCTGGCAATAAACCCGTTTCTGATTCTGATCGGTTTGTCCTCTAGGTTGCACTGCCACGTCTACAGTAGCGCAGAATGGACAAAGGAAACATGATTGGGCCTCAAGTTTTTTGCAGCCAATATTCATTACCCTACAGGGGCGGCTAGTGGAGTACTTCGTGACCACAGAGTGTGAACGTTGTGATCAGCTGTTTTAGCGCAGTTCTCCAGTGAAGGGGGGGAGAGAGAGAGTCTCCCTCCGCAGCCGGTTGGCGTAGTTTGGGCACAATTCCGTTGTACAGACCGACGTTAACAGCAGCCCTGTCTGTGCACACGGAGACCGACTCTCGTCCGGTGATCTAACCGCCTTCTGGAAAAGCTTCACAAGTACGTCGGTAAGCAAATGCGCTTTGTGACACAAGTGACGGTACGCATTTCAGATTACGCACATAACCTGCGTACCAGTTATGTGCACCCCTGTACTACAGCAAAAGTATTCTCCGTCGGGACTTCCTGCAACAACACCACGCCGTTATCAAAGATGTTCTATTGAGAAGACGATCACTACGTGACAAAAGTTTTCAAAACCGTGGCTACTGAAATCAATCTTACTAACTGCTGTCTGTGCAATTTACTCCGCGAGTTGGCAGACTTTATTTTGCTTCCTTTAACATCATTTGTCATGGTGGGGCTAAGCCATTTCTTGGTATGGGTGTAGCCTACCCCAGCCATACCCTGGCGCTGCCACTGGTGGCACGTATGGGGCGGGCCATTCTGCACATGCGTTAAATGCGTTAAATATTTTAACGCAATTAATTAAAAAAATGAATTACCGCCGTTAACGCGATAATTTTGACAGCACTCATTTTAAGTTTTCAGAGTAATTGTTTCCTACAGAACATTTTGTGATGTCATTTTGTTGAACCTGTTTGATTGGAAAATGTTAGAAAAAAGCTGTAAGATAACAGTATTCTAACTTTAGGTTCTGTATTTATTTTAGTGTTTGATCATACAAATCTAATAAAAAAAAATGTAAACTGTTTTTCTCATCAGAACTTTATTTAAGGTATTTTAATGTAACATTTTAAGACAATGGATTTTGAAAAGAGAGGAAAGTTTCCTCTAAAATCTTTAAGGACAATTTCTGTATACTAATTGCTTTTGCACTTTATTTCAGTTAAAGTATTTTTACTTTAATTTAATGTTTTTTGTTTGGCAGCCGCTGCTGCCAGTCATTTGACCGTTTTTTTACGGGTTTTTTGCCCGTAGAAGTTTTAGTGCTGTACTTTTATTAAATGTTATTGACTAAAAAGAGAGGATAAATCTGTAAAATTACAGTGTTTGCACGTTAAAATATTAGTGCTGTACTTTTATTAAATGTTATTGACTGTAAAAAGAGAGGATACATCTATAAAATTAGAGTATTTGCCTGTAGAAGTATGAGTGATGTACTTTTATTTAAGGTTATTGACTGTAAAAAGAGAGTATAAATCTGTAAAATTACAGTGTTTTCCTGTAAAATCTTTAAGGACAATTCCTGTAAATTAATGGCTTATTCACTTTATTTCAGTTAAAGTATTTTACTTTAATTTAAGGGTTTTTGTTTGGCAGCCGCTGCTGCCAGTACTTTGACCGTTTTTTTACGAGTTTTTTTTTTACAGTGTACATACTGATATACACCTGAACATCAGCAGGAGAGGACTCTTTAAAGTAGATACACTACATACTGATATACACCTGAACATCAGCAGGAGAGGACTCTTTAAAGTAGAGACACTACATACTGATATACACCTGAACATCAGCAGGAGAGGACTCTTTAAAGTAGAGACACTACATACTGATATACACCTCAACATCAGCAGGAGAGGACTCTTTAAAGTAGAGACACTACATACTGATATACACCTGAACATCAGCAGGAGAGGACTCTTTAAAGTAGAGACACTACATACTGATATACACCTGAACATCAGGAGGAGAGGACTCTTTAAAGTAAAGACACTACATACTGATATATGTTGTGGAAATAATTATCATAAGACGCCAATTAGTAACATACAGGACAAACCTTGATGTCTGTTTACCTTCTTTAAGGACACAGGCGGCTTAGCCAATAATGTTATTGTTCCCATTCTGTGACCGGTCAATACTGGGTCACAGATGGTCTGTGTTGTGGGTACACTGGGACACTTCCTTCTCTGTATTTGTGGACTCCAAGGTAAAATCTTCGAGGTCATAAGTGTCCGAGGCAAGTAGCTCTGTGTTCCCACACTGTTTAGGCTATCTCCTCAAATATGTTGTTTACTCTCTGCGAAACCAGTTAGATGGGCTGGCAAGAGAGAGGCTCTCCAGATTCGAGTGTGGTCTCACCTTACATTAATTACATCACAAAGTGGAATAAGATTGAAACATTCAATCACAATGATTGATACAGCCAATCATAATAGGAAAAATCATCTCTCATCAGTGTTTGATCATCTTTTGTCAAAAGCATAATAATGAACACACATAAAACACAGGTGCACAATGATAAAATATATTAGTTTAAAAACAAATATTTAGCCATTGTGCACCTGTGTTTTATGTGTGTTCATTATTATGCTTTTGACAAAAGATGATCAAACACTGATGAGAGATGATTTTTCCTATTATGATTGGCTGTATCAATCATTGTGATTGAATGTTTCAATCTTATTCCACTTTGTGATGTAATTAATGTAAGGTGAGACCACACTCGAATCTGGAGACGCCTATTGAGTTAATTATTGACCAAATTATTATTAGACTAATGTTTTTAGGTTATCATAAATGATAAAAAGAGAGGACTGTTGTGGAAATAATTATCATAAGACGCCAATTAGTAACATACAGGACAAACCTTGATGTCTGTTTACCTTCTTTAAGGACACAGGCGGCTTAGCCAATAATGTTATTGTTCCCATTCTGTGACCGGTCAATACTGGGTCACAGATGGTCTGTGTTGTGGGTACACTGGGACACTTCCTTCTCTGTATTTGTGGACTCCAAGGTAAAATCTTCGAGGTCATAAGTGTCCGAGGCAAGTAGCTCTGTGTTCCCACACTGTTTAGGCTATCTCCTCAAATATGTTGTTTACTCTCTGCGAAACCAGTTAGATGGGCTGGCAAGAGAGAGGCTCTCCAGAATTGACGTGGCAACTCTACCGTGAAGTCAGAACCTCTGACTCTTGGACTTGTGATGTGAATCCTCCGGCCGTTAACTCCAAATAAACCATCATGTGTTTGACATCAAAGCTACTGCTCTTCCCGTGTCTCCTTCCTGAGTCGGTGACTCCCACTGCATAGCGACACAGAAGTTTCCATTACAATATACACCTGAACATCAGCAGGAGAGGACTCTTTAAAGTAGAGACACTACATACTGATATACACATGAACATCAGCAGGAGAGGACTCTTTAAAGTAGAGACACTACACACTGATATACACCTGAACATCAGCAGGAGAGGACTCTTTAAAGTAGAGACACTACATACTGATACACACCTGAACATCAGCAGGAGAGGACTCTTTAAAGTAGAGACACTACACACTGATATACACCTGAACATCAGCAGGAGAGGACTCTTTAAAGTAGAGACACTAAATACTCATATACACCTGAACATCAGCAGAATATGTCCTCTTAAATAAATCTGTCTTTGTGTCTGTCTCTCTCTCCTTCTGTGTGTGTGTGTGTGTGTGTGTGTGTGTGTGTGTGTGTGTGTGTGTGTGTGTGTGTGTGTGTCTGTCTGTAGTCCTGTCTGTGTTGCTGGTGTTATTCTGGCTCTCTCTCCAACAGCATGCTGCCTCTGAACCATGGAACCAGTCTGCAGTACAAACACACCGACCACTGAGAGCCCGTTTCTCCCACTGCACCTGAGAAACCTATATTGTGTCTATTATATGAAATTATATATTTGTATTTATCAATAAAGCTATATTCTCAAAGCCTTTGAAAACATGTGTGGTATATGAATGTAGTTTTATATTTTATATATAAGGAGATGATCAGATTAACTATTTTGATAATCTATTTATAAAAATAAATATTCTAAATAATGACTTATAACAGACTTTTTTCAAAAGTTGCATAACTTCTTTCACTCAAGTAAAAATATATTAAAACA